AAAGTTAAACCTGAGAGCCCATTAAGAGATGACTATTTTGTCCTCCATATACAGAATCTGACTAACAATACTGAAGCATTGAGGTCTTTACAATCCATATTCTTAGCAGCAATAAATGGAACCAAAACAGCTTGAGTGATTTACAAACCAATTTAATTGGCAAAAAAAAAAAAAAAAAAATTCAAAAAAAATCCGTACATCAAATGTTTAACTGATTAAAAGCTAAAAGGATGTAAGGACCTTGCGAAACTGGAAATAAATTGCAGCATCTAAGAATTCAGTTAGCCAAATTAAACACATGTAGAAACTAATTGTCTTGATCTGTGAACCTATTTTTTTCTACAGAAACTATACACAATTGCCTATCCTTCGCCTCTGGACTTACTTGTCCAATAAAACTTCTTTCTGTCTTGATTAAACATGTTCATCTGTGATCCCTCTGCTCACATGAATCACCCACATTTCACAGACAAAATGGAATACTCCCTCAAGTGTTTATTTTTCAAAAATATCCCAAACACCAACCTGAAATCAGCCTTTGAAAATGGCAAGGAGATCACATCATTTGTCATGACCTCAGTTGCAAGAGATTCCCGTTTAACTTCTATCCAGCACCCAACAGCGATAGTGAAGGTGGATGCTGGCATTGGCATGGTCACATAATAGTTCCAACTAAAGATACCTATGAGCAAAAGGGAACAGGAATTACTTACTAGGTTACAACACACATTTCTAGTATCAGGACTCTGAATTGTAATGCACAAATATTTGGAAAACCTCTTCCCCCATCTCTCAACATTTTTTCTTCAAGAAGGAAACAGATAACCAGATTGTCTTTCAACCACATTACTTAATACATTGATAGTTACATGTTACTTCTGCTGGAGGGTGAAAGACACATTAGGAAAGAGTTTAAATCTAAAATGGAGCTTATACTAATATTTATATCTGAAGATTCTGAATAATCTGCCAAAAATTAAACCTAGCTTTGTGATGTTATAAATGTAAGCCTTAGTGAAACATTAGGATTATAGGAAAGTAGGAATGGAAGGGACCTCATGAAGTCATCTAGTCCAGCCCCATGGTCAAGGAAGGATCATTCTTGACTAAACCATCCCAGCCAAGTGTCTGTGTAACCTGCTTTTCAAAATTTCCAGGAATGGAAATTCCACAACTTCTCCAGTAGCCTGTTCTGGTACTTGACCACCCTCATCATTAGAAAGTTCTTCCTAATTCTAAAGTTGTTCTACATTTTGTACTAATAGTCCAAGCCCTTGCACCATACAAGCAGGTGTGGAGTCAAACAGGATCTTCTGCCTAGAAAAAGGGATAAGCATTATTCCCCAATGAGTGCGCTTATGAACTGCCATACAGGTAATAAGATATGAATAGTTGTTGTTGGCTCTGCATCACCATATAACTTATAAAGGCTGTACAGAGAAGGTGAACAGAAAAAACCATGGTCGCTTACAATTTCATTAGAAACCGTAAGGAAATAAAATATTTTAGTCAAATGAAAATCTTTGGACATCTGAGGAGGCTGAAAACCAGCAACGTGGGCACCAGGGAAAGGGGTCTTATAGGACAAGACAATTCATTAGTACTATGAAATCACAAGTTCTTGATGTTGACATAAACCACACCAAGGGTCCAAGCTGCCTCCCACTGAAGTCAGTGGGAGTTTTGCCATTGCCTTCAGTGGGAGCGAGAGCAGGCTTGGAGGCAGTTTAAAACAATACTTCATTGTGTGTAGCATCTGTCATACACGCAGTGTTACAAAATGCTCCATCAAGTTATGCTAATAGAGCAACTTCAGAGTTTAATGGCAGCAAAGGAAAAGAGAAATTTTCAAGGATCATCATGAAAAAAGTAGTGTGTTTTCAGCTGAGTTTTGAAACAAGATTGAAAGTCAATGAGGCGCAGAGACAGAAAACTGTTCCAGACGGCAGGAGGTGTAAAGGAGAACACTCTCACAACAACAGTGAGGAGACTGTCTAGTGGGAAAGAGAGGAGGCCAGTGCTAGACAAACAGAGGGAGCAGAGAAGGTTAGAGTGAGAAACAAGTTCAGTGAGGCAGGCTGGAGCAAAGAAAACTATGGAGTGTTTTAAAAACAAGAAGGGCAATTGGAACAGGATGCTGAAATGAATGGGGAGCCAGTTTAGCAGTCTAATGATGTGATGTGTTTATGCACCAAGTAAAGGAAGGTGGGCAGCAGCATTCTGCACATAGCAGGGTTTAAAGAGCTTTGCTTTTTTTCGACTACCTCCAAAACCAGTGAAGAACAGAGCTCACCACCCTGAGCACGTTACCCAGGCTGAGCACCACTACATACTACTCAAAGCTAGAAGAGCAGCAGCAATTACTGATGAAAGAAAGAATCCTGAAAAACAAAGCACCAAAGTGGGACTCAAGGGCAGGAAGAAACTTGTTTTCCTCTTCACATATTCTTTCAAAGTCCTATATATTAGGATTTATAAAACCAACGCTCCCATCACCAAATCCTGAGGCTCCTACTGTGTTTATAAGCCCTGTTGGCCCTAGTTCACTACTGCACATATGTGTCTGCCATCTTTATAGCCCAGAATGTATCAACTTGAACAATTAACAGAAAGTCTCTAAGCACATGGTGAAAGGGATGAAGTTACTCCAGGATAGGTGGCATTTCGTATTACTGACCTGGCCTTTCTGCAAGGCATGATTACTACCAGTGAGCAACATGAGGTGCTGTTTCTGTTAACATACTGTGCATTTTTAATTCTTTTGGTCTCTCCTTCTCTCTCCTTTCCCATTTTATCTTATTTGTTTCTCTTTTAATAACTGCTTGGCCTCTTCCTATTCTTTCTTTCTTTCTGTCCTGCCTAATGCTTCCATAGATATCCTGTACTCTCTCTCTTCCCACCTTTATCATCCTTAGCATTCATCTTTCGTCCCTCTTCCCCTGGTCCCTTTTATTTTCCTTTCTCTCTTATATGCCCTCATGTGGCTCCCTTGCAAACAGCACCACCTATAGGGAATGGGAAAGCAAAGCAGCTGGACTCAGTGCAGTGCTTCCTCCTAGTGCAAGTATGTTATCACTGAACTGTTAGGCAGAAGGTAGGGTAGATTTGCACCTTACAGACTAACTAAATCAAAGATCCATAAGCTTTCATAAGCAGCCTCTTGCTTTATCAGAAGTTTAGCATCTGATGGAGCAAGCTGCTGTTTATGAAAGCTTATGGATCTCTGATTTAGTTAGCCAGGGGTTGGTGACCCACCAGGGATTAAATTCATGGCCCCCAGGCTCCTGCCTGACTGCCACTCCTGCCACTGCTCCAGTTGCAACAGCAGCCAGAGTCTCTGGGCTCCCCTTCCCTCCCAGGGGGCAGGGCACTGCAACCCAACATGGCCAAGTGAGTTGAGGTTAATAGGTGTAAACAGATATGCTCTATATCAATTAGTTTTTGAAACTGGGTGCCAAATAGTTTTTGAAACTGGTTTTAATTCGTTTTTGAAACTTGAGGCACCCCTCCCTAACATTTTACAAAAGTTAGGGAGGGGTGCCTCAAGTCAAAAAAGGTTGAGAACTCCTGTATTAACCATATCTGCACTATATGAGGGTTCATGGGGAAAAGAGCAGAATAGCTGTGTGGGTTTGCTTTTTAATGGAAACTGGAAGCATGATGATAAACCTTAGGTTCAAAACACCCCATCATCTACATGGGCTATCTATTCATAAAACAGCCTTGCTTTTAAATCACATATTACCAAGACATAAACTTACATGGTAAAATCACAATACTTGAAAATATTTTCCAACAGGTTCTTTTCAAAGTTCCATTTTTCTAATTGGACATCTGTTTTGCAACTGCAGTATAAACATACATGGCCTGATAGTTGCATAATTACAAAAATAAAAAGCCTATTACACCAAACTGGAGGGGGGACTTCCAAGTCATATGTTAACTATTTAACAGTGGATTTAACAATACTAGGAAACTGTAATCCATTTAAAAGCAAGGAAAATACCATTCTTGTTCTCATCATGCATTTAAGCTATATTTAACAGTTTCAAAAACAGTTAAGAGTCCCAGTTTGTTCATACCATACCTAAAAAAAATCTGAGTGTCACTGTATCTTATCACTTGACTTAAGAAAATAAACATATTTTCTTTAGTTTAGATAGCACCTATCACCTCTAAAAAGTCTTTGTTGTTTTACAATGCAAATTGAAATAGAGACCATATGCAGATTACTTTGCCATGAAAATATAGCCATGTCTAATGGAAAATACAGCATCTGCTTAAGAGTACACAATATCCCTACACAACACTTGTGAAAGTGAAAAATAGGAGAGAGACATGAAACCACAACTAAATAAATTGAAATTACCTAAACTAATGTTTGGCTGAGACACTGGGATTAAGAACTATTATTTGGTGTAGACCCTTTTAGAAAAGTTTTTGGTGACTGTGCAGGACCTGGACTGATCGTAGGTGAAAGACAGAATTTCCAATATCAGACTGCCCTGGCCCCATGTTGGAGCATTATGCCAACACTGGCTCACAGGGAAGCCTGCTACTTGAGGAATCAGCAATGCCACTTGCTACAGCACCTGTCAGACATGTCAGAGATCAATCAACTAAAGCACTTTCCTTGTGAAAGGGGGGAAAGGTGTTTCTCTCTCTGCCCATATTTATTCTCTGCAGTAGAACACATATTAAACTGGTCTCCAAGTTGAATTATGTAAATAGTGAGGGAAAGTGAAAATGTTGATACCATAAATGAAAAAAAATACTAGGAGATATAAAAATTCCACAATTTTAGGCCCAATGTGAATGCAAATAGAAGCATCCATTAGAGTGTGTGCATTTGAATTTTAAAAATGTCTTTTTGCTGTTTTTCCACTTCCTGCTTTTATATTTACTTTCTTAAAGAAAAATATGCATAGCTAACCTATATGATTATTGAGCCTTTTTATACAGTCTACTGCAAATCAAAATTCTGTCTCAACCCGAGCAATGGCATTTACTTTACACTATATTTTAGAATTTTGCAAAATAATATTTTTCAGGACATTATTTAAAGCTCTAATGCACACTGCACCTAAATATACCATTCAATTTCATTTATGCAACCTGAGAGACTTTAAGGGATGTGCATACTTGATAACAAAGGACAAAATTTGCTTCAGACCTTCAAGTAATTTTATACGTACTATGTATCCATGTGGATAGGCTAAGTATAATATTGAACGGGTTAAAGTACAGCTTATTTCTAGCACTTGTAAGAGTGTAAATGTTATTCTCCCATCTACACAATTGATCCAGATTTCAAATTTCCAATGTTTTCTCTACATATGAAACTCACACCAGCAAAAAAGGTCCATACAAAATATCTGCTTATCACTGAATTATTTCGTATGTTTCACTGTTATCTCAGCCTGCCACACTTTTTACCTACTATTCCCCCATTCATCTATATCCTTCATCACTTTCTTAGAGATGGTCATTTTTTATCTGTCTACATACTGTAATTCCTCATTCTATTGGTACCTATAAACCCTCATCAGAATACAAACAATAACTAATATCAGTAACAAGGTCCATCACAGTAAATCTCTATTATTCGTTGTTTTCAAAATAATGCTAATAACTAAATGAGGTTACAGTGATGCACAAGAGCCCTATCTGGATCATCTACACTGCAGTGAATTTCATCCTAAGAAAAATAACTTGCACAAAAAGAAATGCAAGAATAGCTGTTCTTTTTCTTCAGTGCAGTAGAAAAGTCATTGCCATTGTCACTTTCCTACCAAAGAAGCCAGTTGTAATGGAGCATTTGGTCCTTCCCAGTCCATTTCACACTTTTCATTCAGCACATCATTAGTACAGAAAAGTTAAAATGAGTCATTTCCCCTCTATTGGCCTTTCCACTGAAATTCTACAACAGTGTTTCTCACTTTCTTAGAATTCTTTGGGATAGAAATATGCTGGATTAGTGTTTGGAATATTAAATATATATATATCTTAAATCGACTTGTAATTAACAAATAAGAAAAAAAATGACTCTTTGCAAATACTGAAAGGAATTAAACAGATGCCCTTTCTATTCTCCCCAGAGCCATTAAGTAGAGCCTGGATGACTAAGCCTCAACAGTCACTCTTAAAAATATGGAACATTGATGTAATTTTCAACACTTTTTCAACAACATTTTGGAAATGTCTTTTTACATGGTTAGTTTTTCCCTAATTAAAAAAAAAATCATGGGAAAAAGTTAAATTGGCTTCTTTAAATCACAGGAATGCAAAACTGTATTGATGAGGAAATAACACTTCCATCTGATTCATTTTCAGTTAGCTAATAGGTATAAAAGAACACTGATTTCAACTGAGCTATGACAATTTACACTGGCTAAGGATATGCTAGCCTAGTATTTGTTAAACTGAGAGAATAGGTAGCTTTCTATTTTTAGAGGCACAGTTACAGGTAAGCCTCCTCTTTCCTCTGAATATCGACATAAGAGATTCCCATCACTGGGAGACTTGATAAGCAGAAAAAACCCATTAAAAAGGGTATAGACAGACCGAACAAATGTGTCGATATCAAAGGACACCGATATAAGCTGTTATGATGCAATGGTAAGATTTTCAAGATCCTATAGATCCTATATTTTTCTACAAGGGTAGAAAAACTGCTTCACTGACTTTGAGCCAGCTTCATTAAATCAAAGTTAAGGTAAACTGGCTAATTTGTACCACTACAGGCTCAAGCAGAGGTAACAGTCACATTGTAACAGTTGATGAGAGCGCTAGAGCAGCAACTCCCCCTCCATTTTTAAAGCAGCTAAAAAGAACATCTGTCTATATACCCAAGGTGAGTTTGTTGATAAGACTAATTAAGCAATGGTGCTAGGACTGTTTCACCAATACCTGGAATCGAAGTTTTGAAAAACCTTAGAATGTATTATTGAGGTGCATCGATATATTGGTCCATATCATATTGGCACCGATAAAAGGAAAATTGACATTATTGGCAATCGGCTATTTTTGGCCAATGTGGTCGATAATGTCACCAACAAATGCCACATGCATGCACAGTTACTGCATGCGCATGACCAGGAATGCAGCCCATCAGCTTGGAGACCAGCAACCATCCAGTAAATCTGGCGGGGGGTTGAAAGAGGTGTGGCGGAGGGAAGGGGCATGGGGGTGCAGATCGAGGCCCCCACGGTGAGAGAGGGAGTGGGGCTGGGACAGGGGCAGGCACTACCCAGCTGGGGCTGGGTACCCAGGGGGAGCTCTATGGGCCAGATGCAAGGGGCGGGGTGGGGCGGGGCGGGGCAGGGCATGGGGTGGGGCCATGGGGGGCTCAACTGGGGGGGGGGGGGCCCCCTCCCCGGCACCTGGGGGGAGGTGGCTCCCATCACTGCACACACCCCTGGGGGATGAAAGGAGGGTATGGGGCCCCTGGATTTGTGCACAGGGCAAGGACAGGCTGCCTACTTCAGGGCCGGGGGCTGCATTAGGCTGTTCCCAACAGGGGGCCTGGGTCAGAGCTGGGCTTGGGGCAGGTGGGGGCCAGGTGGGCAGCAGTGGTGCTAGGAGAGGGGTGGGCTACAGCAACCCCAAAATTCACAGTATTGCCCCCACCCAGCACCACCAACCACCCCAAGCACAGCCCTGGTCTAGCCCCCCCTGCCAAGAAGAGGCCAGTGCAGACCCCGGTTCTGAAGTGGGAAGCCCACCTTTGCCCCCCACACAAATCCTGGGGGCACATGCCCCCCCCCATGCATCCCCCGGGGATGCACACAGCACTAGGAGTGCTCCCCCCAACCCCCAGATGAGCCACCCACAGCTCTGTTCCATGCCCCACCCTGGCCCGCCCCAGCTGGGTAGTGCCTGCCCCTGCCCCACTCCCTCCCTTACTGTGGGGACCTCAATCTGCGCTCCCATACCCCTTCCTCCCCACAGACTTCCCAGCTGGATGCAGTGTCATCAGCGCCTTTTTGTAGGGGGTGCACTGACACGCTCACGGGGTGCACATGCACCTGCGTGCACCCCCTATGTGTCACCCCTGCACCTGGGCTATAAGGTCGGGGCGTGGCAGCAAGGACTGCTGGCTCTCACTGGGGAGCCAGAATTATTTTCATTAACTTTTTTTTTAAGCTGATTTGACAGACAATCCTGGATTTCACAGTTTCTGTGAAATTGTGAATTGAGCCGACCCTTAACCAGACATACTTGTTCATATGTGGATTTTAGAGGTGTATATCTATGCATTAAAGACTGAAAAATATGACTTGGGAAGTTACATCATTTCCCTGTACTTTACTGTTCCCTGCAGCCTGAAGAGGGAAGCTGAAAAGAAACACAGAAAACAGCATCAGCCCACACCTCACATCATGGGCAACTGGTGCCTCACGAGTTTGGG